GATATGAATGAAATGCTGGTTAGCTGTCGGATAACCTGCTTCACTCGCATCTGTGGTGTGACATAACATACTAGCACTCGCAGAGTTGGGTAGGTTTCCTCTGCAAACAAGCTGTTAGAGCTTCTCATTTTGACTCGGCAATTACTTTGCTAGATGCTAACAATTGTAGGCACCACAGGAGATTTCCTTGGTGTTGGTTACTTTTAAGATTCTATGGCATCATACATGCCCTGACAATTTCAGACTTTTTTTTTTTTTTTACAAATTTAACACACATAAGAGAGAATCTTAAGTTTTTTCTTTTATCCCCCTCCAAAAAAATGTAAAAGGTGTAAAAACATTTCAATTTAAAACGACAAAGACAACCCCGCTAAAAATAAAAGCATAGAATCTTGAAGAAAAAAAAATAACCGGATGATTTGAAAATTTATTTGTCTTGAGGGCTTCTACTGTTTTTAATTTTTTATGTTACTACTGCATAAAGCTAAAAAGAAATCTGAAAACAAAAAAAGACTTTGCGTTTATCAAAGATTATTGTATGTTATCTCAGTTATTACTGGCAAAGTTAATATAATACACATGTACAATAGCACACATATATGTACGACCCAACATAATATATACAAAGCTGTGTGCTCTATCTTCAGACTGTTCATTAAACAAGTGACAGTTGACCTGCGAGGAAAATAGCTTTATAAAACAAAGACAGCTAAACCAGTAGTGTGGGGAATTTCTTTTTAATGATAATTAAGCATATCTAATGAGTGACGAGAACCATCTCGCAGTGCATGATATAAGGTTCAACCAATCAAACTGAATAATAATAATAACAATAACTAATTCCTGTATAGCGCCAAATCTGTCAATATTTACGCTCAAGGCGCTGAACCGCAACGTACGTAAACTACATTAACTATACACGATATTGATCTTTTAAAAAAAAGCGTATACAATACAGACGGGGCATTTCAACGATAAAAAAAATATACAACACAAGTTACAAGCATTAGTTCAGTGCGCCCATCTTACAGATCGGTACATCGTCACAAATCATAATTATGATTATTTGTTTGTGTTTATTAATTTTTTTTGGGGGGGGGAGGAATAAAGGGGCGTAAATTAAGATTTTCAACATCCTTCCAATGGTTTCTCTATTTCAACAAATGTTAACATTTTCTGTGCAAAATTTATTTCCAAACCAAAGTTAAGATGAAGGTGGGTAGACCCAGTACAAGCTTCAGCTTCTTGTCTGACCTCCCCATACTATTATTTCAAGTTCCGTTAAAAGTTTTTCCCCATGTACAGTATTCAACTTACCTTATAGTTTGGAAATAAACCTGAAACCTGAAACCTAAATGTAGGTGTTGACTAATAAAGATATATATAACCTAATAAAAAAAATCTAAAAATAACAACAAGTATACTAGTAAATGATACGATAAAAATGCTTCTTAAAAAAATGACAATAAAAAGTAATGAACTGGAGAAAAAAAAGACTTTAATAACAGCTTTGATGATTCTTTTGTTTACCTTCCTAAGTGTTTCCGTACCAAAAGTGACCATGGAGTTAACAAAGAGATAGCAAAATGGCTCAATCTTGAACTGTAAGTCTATGGGAAGAATTCGCACACAAACCAGTCAATAGACCTTTATCATGCTGCCACCATTTTAGTCATGTCCCCTGTATCCAATAACAGTACTGAATGATAACGCTTTTTGTTCAAAAAGGAACCAGACTGTTTTTCCTTCCAGCCTCGCTTTGGTTACGCTGATTTGAATGGGAAAAAATCATGATGGCCGCAACATGATAATGGTCTATACCTGCACATGCACTCAATATTAAGTAGTCTTCACTCAGAATCTTACACAGAGGCTCAGCCAGTCAACACAGTTGTTGGACCTTGCAAAACCTGACAGCAAGTTGAATATGTCAGAAAAATTCACTAACAACGTCTCCAGAGCTACATGTATGTGTTGGTATTTGAGTCAAAACGTGTTTACATTCTGGAGTTGGGCTTGTTTTGCTGTACCACTGGTACAAACAGTCTCATGATCCTCAGTGCTAAACATCTGAATGAGCTTCAGTTTAACTCTAACCGCACCTCAAGCTAACAATACGATTACCCCAAAATACTACTAGTAGTAAACTGAAGTATGCAGTACTTCAGCATATAAGTGGGCACAGCACTCGTAGTATTTTTTAGTATTTGGGTACGGCATACATAATTGTTGTAGTACTATGTAGCATGTGGTGCCTTACTCCAATGAACTCTTTGAGGGTTAGGGTTAACAACTGTTTCAGCTTTTGCACTGTCTGAATTATTTTTCTTCTTCTGGATCCAACAACCTTTCCGGGACTCCGATGGGTTTCTTTCACACTGGCAAAATCCAAAGCAAGTGACAATGTGATGTCACGCCTGCGTACTGAGAAAGTTTCTCAAACGCACACAGTGACGTTTCCAAGAATGCAAATATACAGACAAATTCAACACCAATGTTTCTGATACAGGGGTTTTGCACACCTTTCTTCCGATATTGCATCTAAGTCCGAGATGAGAGGTAGTCACACAAATTTTATTATTACCCCCAATATGTATAGTCGAATCCACTGATGTTTTAAACTGATTTAGGGCATGCAACTATTCCGGTCACTGTGGTCTGCTCGGCTAATCGAGTCTGCAGAAGTCCACACAACGTAAACAAGTGCAAGTGCACAATAAATTGCAAGAAGTCTTGCATGAAATGGATCAAAATGATCCCTGCCAGAGCTGAAGAATAAAACGCCGATGGCATATATGGAGCACCATACTGTTGGTCAATTTTCGGGCAGACAGACAGACAGACAGACAGACAGACCACCAAGTGACATGTAAAAGCTCCTGCAAGAGCTTAAAAATATTCGTCCAGATTTCTTGAAATGTTAAAAGTAAAATCTCAGGGCGTGGGGATTGTTTATCTATGACGGAGTAAATCTACATTACGTTCCTTGAGAAAACAGCATTTGTTTTGCATATTCAGTTAAACAGCCAAAATTTGAGTGCAATGGCCAAAATTGAGCATGCAGACACAAATGTCTGAGTAATTTCACACAAAAAATAAAACAGCATAACAGCTTGCTAGGCTCAAATGCCCCGACGATAAACACTACATGACAAACACAGAAGATGATGTTCTGCATATTTTTTGCAGTACCCATTGAAAAATGAGATTAAAAGATCTGGAAGATTTGAGACTTAAAAAGAAAAGTAACATTTCCGTGACAAATAAAGTGAAGGCATAGGTTTAGCACAAACTAAGTGATTCTAAATATGTAGTTTAAAATGTAGCAAAGTATATTTCAGAAAAATTAATGGCATAACGGGCTGTGTTTGGGTATATTATTGGAACAGTCTGCAGTTTGGAGACCTATTTTAGAGCAAAAATCCACAGAAAAAGGGAGCAACATCATGTCAAAGCAGAGTAAACTACTTTTCCAGTGGAAAATTTTACAGTCCGAAGTAAAAGTCATCGAACTGAACAAAACCAGATTCTTGGCGAGCAAGATAATCATGAAAAGTTGGTACACAGACATTTAGTGTACTAATATTATACAAATTACATTCATCTACCACATACAAATCAAAATGAATGATCAACCGAATGACCCCCAAAAATGTATTCCACAATGTTTGTGCTGGTCTTTCGTGTAGAGGGACAAGACTACTTTATAGTCCTCTATGTACCTGACTAGGGGCTGATTTTAAGAAACTCATCTTATCTTGCGACTCATTCTAGGACTTGAGACAAGTTCCCGCTCTAAGATCGATCTTAGCTAAGACACGACTTCAGACCAGTTTCACTTAACCCATCTTAAGCAAGACGTATCACAACTACCAATTTGATGGCTGTTTCATGTTTGTTTTTACTGCTTGACGAAACAGTCGTTGAGAAGAAACGCCCAAAACCAACTTTCCGAGCACATGCATAGAACAAGAACTTTCGCTTCGCCAGAAAAACAAATGCTCAACTCAATCAATTTCGCAGGCAAGGTAGTTCTACACAAGATACGATAGAGGCATTCTTGCTCCCCGTTTCATCACTCTATTTGAAAAAGTCAACTAGGGTGGTGTATAATTAAATTTTGTAAATAAGCTATTAACGTATCGGAAATCTTTTCAAATCGTTTCTACAGCGGTTTTCTTTCTCAAAACGATAACTTTAGGCCGACAATCGTCTTAAACGAGAAGACCTTGCAATGATTTCGAGACGATATACAAATTAACGCACGCAATAATGAGATAAGACGACCCTCGGACCAACCTTAAGTTGAGACGATTTAAGCCGCGTTGCTAAGGAAGTTAAGACGTGTCGAATGCGTCTTAAGTTTGATGAAATTGATCATAGGACGAGTCGTGAGTTAAGACGAGTTACCCTTCCTAAGACGGATCTTATCGTTTTGTGAAATCGGCCCTACAGTACATGTAGCTTACTCATACTGTGACTTAGCTGGTGACGAGAACTGGTCAGTACTACAGACTTACCCCATAACGGGCTAAATCCAGCCCATTGTGTACACCAGTTGTAGTACTCGTACTCCGTACTTTTTTTTTAGAGTACTCCTACTCGTACTCGTACGTCAAAGTACTCGTACTCAAAATGACGGTACTCTTACTCGATCATCAAAGTATCGTACTCAAAAATAAAAAAATGGTATAGCTCGACTTACCACGGCCTTATTTTATCGATGCTTTTAGTTTCAAATGATTGATTGGCTTGCGGAGAAATTGAAGTTTACAGATTTTCCTCTGTGTACGTCCGCACAAACACATTTAACAGCTAGCCGTGATTGGGTCTGTACGGTCTGAATGGGCCAGTGGGCCAATTATGCACAATGAACCATTTGCTATATGGCCGTATTCGGAAATAAAAATCCTCGTACTCGGAAGTACTCGCACTCGGAAGTACTCGTACTAGTAAAGTACAAGTACTCGTAGACCTGTACTTGCACTCGGAAGTACTCGTACTCGGTAGCCTAAGTACTCGGCAGTACTCGGTACTCTGAAAAAAAGTACTCGACTACAACACTGCCAGTTGCGTAGAAAGACCTCTGATGAATAGCCATTCTGCATCAACTGAATAGAATTTTGTAGCCCTCTGGGACCAGCTTGCCTTGTCTTGTTCTCAAAATGTCATACTTCAATACAGGCAATTTCTTTTTTTTATTTTTCATTCTGTTTCATTACCAAAGCGACCATGGCCCTTAAGAAAATGTGACTTTTGATGCAAAAAGTTCTGTAGAAGATGGATAAGACGAAATTTTAAAAACACCAGATGACATCTGGTCGCCAGTAAAAAGGAAAACCACACTTAAGAGTATATTTCTGGTTTAGCTTTCTTAGGATAAATATTGCAGCTTTTGATAAAAAAAACTTTTTTTTTTTTTTTTAATAAAATGAGTTTTACTACCGGTGAAGTCCTCCACTGGGGGTGGGGTTCTTGGCTTGTCCCTCCCCCTACCATGAGGATATATTCTCACTCCTTCTGTTGAAGCAGAACCACAGCAACGCTGCTTTAGAGATGACCTCCTTTGTCACCGGAATAGGAAAATTTTTCAAACTGTGGCAGCCCGGTGTCGGTTGACAGCTCTGCTGCAGAGAACAGAAGGGTAGAGGGTGGGGAGGGTAGAGGGTGGGGAGGGTAGGGGTCGGGGAGGGGAGGGGGGCATGACACAGACAGACAGACAAGGCAGACAAAAGATATGGACAGAAGGGAAGGGAGTATGTAAAGGAGGGGAGGGGGATGGTAAGACAAAAGAAACAGCAGGGGAGGAAAACACATTTGGAAAATGAGATTTGTTAAACATGTGTTCCCATTTTAATAAGGGAATAAATGTGTGCTTCGGAGGTTTTAATCACTCTGTTTGCCGAAAGCGAGGGTAATTATCAGCACCCAGACTCCAAGCGGTCTTAAACAGAGTGATTCATACCGACCAAGCACATATTTATTCCCATTCATAAATACCTTTTTGGTCAAAAAAATCCAAACTTTTCAGTCAAAAACCCCGTTTTTGTTCAAAAAGTTCACTTCGTGTTTTATTAAACGCCCCTCTAGCTAAAATATGGAGTGTCCAGCTCACGAGTAAGTTGTAAACTACTCCTTTTATGGAGATTGGCACGCGCGTCGCGCGTGCTGCGCGATGACGCGCAGAATGCACCTGGGGCGTTGTGTTGTGAATTTAGGACTTTAAAATACTGACTCATTGGTAGTATTGCGCATGCCTAACCGGTACGTGGGGATTGTGAACGTTCAACCAATAAAACGGTAAGAGGCACTGAATTTTGAGGACACTGTTTTGAGGACACTGTGAATTTTCATGTGACACTGCCATGTCTTTATCATCCGTTTAAGACCGGCCACGTGACGGGCTCTCGACCAATAGGAATAGGTAAACCTTCTTAGGTATTTATTAATAGGCATTCATAAATACCTAAGACAGTTTACCCGTTCCCATTGGACGAGAGCCCGTCACATGGCCGGTCTTAAATGTATGATAAAGACATGGCTGGCTGGTCTTAAAACACTTTTCCAGTGTCACATGAAATCTGGAGTCCTATGAAATCCAGAGCCTCTTACCGTTTTATTGGTTGAACATTCACAATCCTCACGTAGGCATGCGCAATACTACCTGTGAGTCAGTATTTCATAGTCCTAAATTCACAATGCACTCGCCACAGCTGCATCTGCACGTCATCGCGAGCTGGACACTCCATTATATATAGCTAGAGGGGTGTTTCGAAAAACATGAAGTAAAATTGTTGAACAAAATCGTTGGACATTTTTAATTGTTGACTTGTTTTGACTCTTGGACCGAAAAGTTCTGTTTTTTTTACCAAAATGTATAAAATCGGCTCGGGCTTCGGCTCGGGTAATTATCAGCATCCAGACTCTAACCAGTCTTAAAGTTAGTGTTTTACTACCCCTGAGCACAAATTTATTCCCTTAGTAATATTTCAAGTAATCTTCCAGGATTTACTTTTACACTCTCAAAATAATTTAAGTTTCAGGTATTAATTTCACTGTAGAATTGAACCAAAAAAAAACAAAAAAAAGAGGAACACTTGGTGTTTTACCATCATTGATCCATTCGATTGAAACTTGTCTCAAGTACTAATGTCACAAGTGGTGCGCAATTCAAGTCTGCAGTCTTGTTGAGATATTAAATGGTTTTTCAATTCCAACCAGATTCTTTGAGTAATTTGCACAACATTTTTCATGATGTCACAAACTGGAGTTTGCACTAATGCTTTTGTGCCAATTTTGAACCAGCCATTAGAAGATCATGATGGGAATATTTGGTGATGCATTTGTTCAGGAAATATCACTCACTGTTGTCATCTGGGGGCGTGAGTTCCACAGGCTCAGCGGTAAACTCTTCGTCAAAGTATCTGGTGTCTGTGTCTGACTTCACACTGGGTTTGAACGGTGGCTCAATCTGGGAAGGGGAAAATGGTACCTAACAAAGGTCAGCTTATTTTCAATTCATAGTGATGAGATCAAATGTTGTTACACTGTTTGCATTTGGGTCATTCTCTAAATTTAGGGTCCAAAGGGTGATATTTCTCCTATCCCTGGTACCATTCCAGTATCATTAAGAGTGACATCAAATAATATTCCATTTGTCGGGTAGGTAGTTTGCTATTTATAATCATTCTTGGAGGATGACTACATTAACCCTTACCCCCTAGGCTCTTGCACTAAACTGAGTACTAAACCTGACCTTCAACTGCTACACACTGGTTCAGTATTTACTAGACAGAACCTGCTAAACTTCAACAGTCCTTGTACTGACAACAGTACTAAACCTACAAGACTCCAACAGGTCAAAACTCTTGAATGTTGATTGATTTGGAATGGATGGGTCTATGCATTGTCGGGTGACTGGCCAGTGATAGTACCAAACCTAACAAAATGAAACAATGTGTTGGCAACAGAAAGTCATGAAAGGCATCATTGCACTGTATGTAGGCCTACATGCAGTGTCGACTGTGTTCAGTGTGCATACACATGTAGTATATGTACAGCACAAAGTTGACCAGCGACTGCGCTAGGGGCCAGCCCTGAGCTCACCCACAAAAAAATGCCTGTGCATTCCCCGAAAATGCAACATTTCCACAAGTCTCGTGCCTTTCTTCCCTGAGCCTCACATAATTCAACAGGGTCTCCCTGGGCCTTTGGTACCCAGTCAAACAAAGTCCAGCAACATGTTCATAACGACTTTCTTTTGACTTTCTCCTCGAGCGCCATGAGCGCCTTTTTTAGGCGGATACCAGCGCTTTACAAATGTTCTTTAATTATTATTTTTTATTATTATTAACGTATGGTACTTTACCAGCCAAAACCTACTGTTGGAGTTTGATGGGCTTGGGTAGTTAGGGTTAAGGAGTGCATCAGAATTATGAAATCACAGATGTCAGATGTAACAAGGACAGGAAAAAAAGTGGACCCCAAATTTATAGATTGACCCATTATACGCTGGGAGTCTTCTATTCAAGAAATATACATGATTTGTGAAATTAAAGGGAAGCAATTTTTAACTCTGCACAGACGCTTTTAACGTCGTAAATACCAGGAGATTATTTTCAACGATAATGTAAAACATTGTGAATCTAAAACTGTTTGCATGATTGTGAATGACAGCTCACCAACACACTAGGTTTTCATTGGCAACTAAATTCAGTCATTAAAACACAAATGATTAAAAAAAAAACCACTGTAATAAATAAATCAAAAATTAAAACCAAAAATAGGGCATGTTACTGTCTTTTTGCAGTTTTTGTATTCCGTCACTCCTTCCAAGGATTCGTCATAAATTGAACATTATTAGACGTGGGTGACCTCAAATTTTTCTGATTACGATTTTGTCCAACTGTCACAATTCTGTTCAGAATCAATTTCAAAAAAGTACCAGTGAAATTTCTCCATATGAATGGTGGTTTACTTCTGAATGGTGGTTTACAGTTGCCCAAGCCTATTGTTTCTGCAATAACTCATTGTTAACTTTGTATGCAAATCAATGGGATATCTGCAGACGTACCTTCTTGTTAAAAAGATCCTCCCAGTTTATACAAGCAAAGAACGGGTGCTCCATGATCTCCTTGGCATCCTCCTGACCTCCTCCAAGCCTGCAAGCAACAAACAAGTGAACAAACGTATCAAAACTAGTGTTTTCATCAAAGACACATTTTTACATTTTTTTTGTACCACGGTGTTTGATTGTGAGAATGGAGACGCGCAACACATCCCATTTGATATTTAAATTAGGTTCACCCCTAGATCACAGGTCAACCTGACACATATAAACGCGAAAGCTGGCATCAGAATTTAAATGGCTGTCCACAGTAGTTCACCATTTTGAGTGTGTGGACACTACAGTGAATACTGAAATATCTTAAAAAGTAAGTCATTTGTAATGTTTAAATACTGCCGAAATCAAATACATACACTACAGCATTAAAACCTTGCTGCACGCTGCCTATTAAATTGAAAGTTTACATTATGACCATGTCATTTTACAGAGCTGCTTATCACCAAATTTGCTAAGTGCAGAACACATTAGCTTAGCAAAGACAACTTGCCAGCCAGAAATGTCAATATTATCATAAAATAGTTCACTGCTGACTTATGCTGATTGCACAAGTTTTGCTAAAGCCCCGGTCACACATTTACAGTTTGGAGCTACGAATATCCACGGTTTACTAAGAATCAATCAATATAGCGTGGATATTCAGAGTACAACCTTAGCAAAACCCTTGCACATCCAGGGAATATCTGTAAGACATTCGTTGCGAATTCGTAGAGATTTCTACCACGAATGAGCCAAGAATCTCCAAAAATATGTACAAATAGCCATGAATAACACTACGAATCAGTTACATTTGTCTTACAGATGTCCAACGGTTGCAATACGGATTGATTTTCATGACGTTTCACCACGGAAGTTTTGAACAGTTTAAAACTTCCGGAGCCCCTCCACGAATACACAAGGACGATGATGGATAACCACATGTACCAAGGATGAATACGGTACTCCCACGGCTTATCACAAATTTCAAACCGCGGAGATCCGTAGCTCCAAACCCTTAACGTGTGACTGGGGCTTAAGCAATATTTTGCGCTTAGCAGATCCCTGAAACTGGGTCCTGATCTGAATTCTGTTTCCAAGTTTCTCTGCTTGCACCAATCCTTGTTGGGGCCTATCTCAATTTATTTCCTAGACGAGTTCCAGACAAGTTCTGGACACGGTATCGGCAATAAGTTGCAACGTCCCCACAATCTTCCCGCAATGAAGTTATCAGTATTGATGAGTCAAGCAGTTGCTAATAATAGTTTTCCCCGGAACATGCTCGGGACAAAGGCAGAGCTTCTTCCAGACAAAGGGAATGATTCTACCCGCAACTTGTCCGGAACTCGTCTCAGATATGAATTGAGACGGGCCCTTACTCGGTCTACGTACCGCTTCGTCGGGTCTTTGGCCAAGAGACCGGTTAGTAATGACCTGGCGCTCTCTGATAACCTGGCGGGAAACTTGACCTCTTCAACCAGGATCAGCTCGAATAGAACCTCATGGTCCCGGCTGTAGAATGGTAACCGGCCACACATCATCTCGTACATGACCACACCGGTGCCCCACCAGTCCACCGCACGGCCATAGTCACTGTCTTCTAAGACCTATGGGAACAACAAGACAGCGATATAAATGCAACCGTTTGGGTCATCACAAGAGTGCCACTTACAGTGGACGTGTAGTAGAGGGTGAACACTCAGTCGATCATTGTCAAATTTGGCTTCATAAGAGCATCCCAAGTTGGTGAAAGTATAAATAAAAAAATTCACCTGTTATAATGCACAATTTTTGCATATGTTGTACGATTTGATGGGATTCACTTTTATAGAGTAGATTAGGCACCTGTTCATTAATTCTTAAGGATACTTCAGTGCAAACCAATGTTGTGTACTACAGGAATTGGAAGAGTTTTGGAAGTACGCAGTAACGTGATTAAGGCATCAAAGTAAAGTCTGTCATGAGCCAATGTGGCCCATCAGGCCGGCGTTTATCTCCGGTTTCAGTAGCATGAAACGACTGAGAATATTTCTATTCCCCCTGGATGGGATGCTAGTCCATCGCAGGTTACTCCCCAGCTAATGCTGGTACCCATTTATACCCCTGGGTGGAGAGAGGCATGTGGGGATAAAGTGGCTTGCCCAAGGACACAACATATGGCCAGCAGCTGGATTCAAACCCCTGACCCTCTGATTGTGAGTCACAAATCCTAACCACTGGGCCACACTCCCCCAGTATTTTGGAGGATTTTGAAAGAATCAAGAGGTTTTAGAGCAGCATTGGACTGCAGTGCTCTGACAAGCCACTTCTTACTCAGCATGAACATGAATATGTCACTTTACATTCTGCTAATTCACAAAAACTCTTACACATGCTAACTGCGGTGAATTTCATTTCCAATAATGTCGAAATGCAGACAGTTCTGTTTTGTTAACCCATTAGCAACTGTATCACATTGTATCACATTGTATTACATTGTATTACATTGTGTATATTCAATGTGACTTCATAAAGCAATGAGTGCTCGGGCAGTTTCAGGGCAGTACAGGGAGTAACAGGCAGGGCAATTTTGGGCGGTACAGTGACTAATGGCTTTAATATTTGTATTCACTTCACTTTAAGGATATTTACCTCGGGAGCCAAATATTCCGGCGTTCCACAAAATGTGCTGGTCGTGTTGCCATACGACAGGTCCTCTTTGCACAACCCAAAGTCTGTGATCTTAATGTGGCCAAACTGATCCAGCAAAAGATTCTCCAACTGCAAAAAATTCAAGAGATTCAAGGTTTAGGAAACTGAAAAACAACAAGGATTTTGACATTAAATGCCCGTGCAGGATATCAATGACAAAATTACCACAATTTCTTATTCCTCCTTTTATACAACATATATGTATGAATCAGGCATGCAACTGGGAAATCACAAAAAAAGAGGAAATTCAAATTTTTCCCAGACTTTGTACAGTGTTTTTCTATTTTCAATGGCACACATGGGAAGTAAAAAAAGAGGAAATCAGCTGATCCGAGGAAAAGTTGCATGCCTGATGAATAAAAACATTCTCTAACTTTGTGGTTAGATGAGGATGGTGCTTATCTTCGTAATGTGCGGTTCAAATGAAGTTCAAAAAGAAGAAACTATGACCCCACAATATCTTTCAGTTCCAATTTAGGGGTGTGTATCGGAGCCAGGTACCTGGATACCCGACCGTTAATGTCAGGAACCGGTGCCAGATTATGGGATCGGGTACCCGTAACCAACTTTGCAAATTACTTGGTAACTTCTCAGACAATGGAAAAGAAAGGTTTTGAATGTCAATTGTGGGAAATTTCAAAATGAAAACTGGGATACATGGAAAACCAAAACAGATTTCACATTTATGTGCATCTTAACGCGGGACAGATGACACTCGCAAAAGTTGCAGTTTACACTGTAAAGCTATAAAACTCTTTAGACAACTTCCGGGATTTGAATTTGGAGGTTTAGTTTCTTTTACGGGTACCCAGGTACCTATGTTTTACTTCAATAGGCTATCCGATGCACATCACTATTCCAGGTTGCTAATTCCAAAGTTTACTTATTGGAATTTTTACCTTTGTTACAATTCTCAGGGATGCCAGTGGTGTTTTGCTTCAGGGCCAAAAAAAAAATTGCAATACTGCACACCTAATCACATCACAATACCACACACATGGTACGTATGTCAACAATGAATGAACAATGTATACATTCGTGTATCGTGTTAGCATGGCGATTGCCTTGAAGCAGCACATGCTAAATGATCGTAGTACACTGAATACTAATAATAATATAATAATTTGAAGGCTTATCATCCTTACTCGCAGCTAAGAAGCTGAATTGCAAAGGATGTGGCTACAATGTGGTCGAGCCGAAGGCATGTAAAGGCACCTATGGCTATTCGACCAACGTCTGACCACGGAGCACAGCCGGAGATCGAAAGTGTTTGATTTTTGCAAAGGGAGGATAACCGGAGGGCCTGGAGAAAAACCCTTGTGGCACAGGAGAGAACCCATGCACAACTCTACTCACATATAGTCCGTGCCAGGAATCGAACCCCGGCCGCAGTTCCTATTTTCCACAGAATGGCCTAAAAATGCAATCCGTCACAATGAAATCCTTTTTTTATATGAAAAAGTTTAAGAGACTTTACAAAACTTTACGAGTCAAACAAATCTCATTTGAACTACTCACCTTGAGATCGCGGTAAATTACGTTACATTCATGTAGATAGGTTAAAGCCGAGATGATCTCTGCACCGTAGAAGCGCGTCCGATCCTCCGAGAAGACTCGCTCTCGCGACAGGTGGAAGAAGAGCTCCCCACCGTTGACATACTCCATGACAAAACACAGCCTGTCAGTCGTTTGGAATGAATACTTCAGTGACTGCAACAGAACGAGAAATGTATTTAAAGGCAATATACAACATTTGCAAACATCAAAAGACAAAACTACCAAATTATTATGAAATACCTTACTGGACTGTTAGTGAATACTAGTCTCAAGCATCCTATGAAATCATGGCATCTTTTCCAAGAAAAGTGGATTTTTCTGTATCGATTTCCAACGATGTGACGGCTGACCATCGTTAGAAAAAACTGAATTTTTTTCAAATACTGTCCCCAGTTTACCAAATTTAGTTAGTTCACATTTACTTTGCAAGCAGTAAAACATCTGCAAACAGGTGCAAGCCCAGCTCTAAGCAATTTTATACTAAAGAAAAATTAGTTCGCCCAATTGTGGTCAAGGCAAAAAACTATATAAAAAAAAATCACCAAATTGTGATCTGCAGTTGACTTTTGGCACATGTCTACATGTTTTCAAACAAATAAAAGAAAAAAAGCATAAATTATTTATGAACCATGCAATTTACATGTATGTACATAGTTTTCCCCGGTGAAAAAAACCCACACATAACAAACATTAATACTCCCCTTTCTGTATTTCTGATATTTTTTGTTAGTTTAACATACAGTAGTTGTCCACCATGCCAACGTGCATGTCATCATGGCTTATGTGTTTGCTGGTCAGTCACCTAAGGGGATTTCATTATGCTGTCAGGTGTCAGCACACTGTTTGTTAATTACAGTGCATCGAGTAGAATAGTATGGATTCATCTCTTGCATTAATTTGAATTTAACGAGCAGAAACCGTGCATGTTGCACAACGCTTTCAGCAAAAACAACAAACAAACTAATTGGTCCAGTGTAATGCATTTTGCCTCAGACTTGAAAACTCAGTGAAATTCCTATCACTTCCTTTCTGTAGAGCGTCCTTTGCATATTCTCATTTGCAAAGGTGTGTTAAAAACAACATGATAAAAAAAAAAATGATAAAAGAACTGTATGGTACGTGTGAATTCCCAAGACACCCTGACAATTTTTTGAAATTTTTTCAATGCAGTTAATATTTTAACATGCAAATTTGTAAACAAAAAAAAGTGTATGTTTTGTCAGTGACAATATTTTACAATAATCGTTTTCAAGGGATGAGCTGAACTTAAGTATTAAAATGTATTTGTACTGAGGTGACCTTTTTTCCCCCTTATAACTAAAAATAAACCATGGAAGCATTCAAGGGTAGATTGCTTCCCTTTCCTACATACTAGCTAGGCATTTTTTTTCTCTGTTTCTAGGTCGGTTCTTGCGTCTTTTTTGCAATTGACAGCAGCGGGCCAGGCTTTCCAAGGGAAGCATTTGAGAGAAGACGGACGTTCTTTGAGAAGGAGTCGTTTGGGAACGACCCATGAATCAGACTTCCTATCTGTTGATTAAGCTGATTGAGATCAGGAAGAGTTACCCTTAGGGACCCTTACTGGACGAGACATTAAATAAAAAAGACATGTCAGCTTGGTGTTAATTTTTGTGTGTGTGGTAAATTAAGAAAAAAGCTTTGATTTCTACTAGTATTTTTTCTTCTTTGGTGCTATTACAATCGTGTGGTTTTTACCATGGTTTGGGAACATTTTTTATCATTCATTTTAAAAACTACACCTTAACCAGAACCTTCCTCAATCCTCCAAAATCCTCCAGGCGGTTTTGGAGGATTTGGAGGATTGAGGCTGAATGGCAAGAAAATGTCAGTTGATTTTGGAGGATGCATTTGCGTGGAGTCCGTAGGCTGTACCATGCAGTGTTGCATAATTGAGCCCTGCATTATGTTCAAAATCATCCGCATTGCTTCTGAATGTCATCGGCACTGCCTTAACCCATTAACAGTGATTGTTGGAGGATTTTGAAGGATTAAGTGCGACAATGGTCACCCCTCCACTGAAATAATTCAAGAAATAACGGTTGTTTTTGGAGGATTGAGGCTGAATCCAATGTTTACATGCTGGCAATTGGAGGATTTTGCAGGATTGAGGATGGTGCCCAGCTAAAAGGGCCTAGGGGGTTAGGGTTAACCTACTTTCAGCGGTTTTTGTGATCACTTTTTGTGATCACTCTTTCCCCGGCCCCCTTACTGTGCTTTTTACTTTTTGGCAAGTCTTTCTTTTCCTTTTTTTTTTCAAAACAAATGCAATTCTAAACATAATGCCACAAAAAATGAACTAAAACTTTCTGGTGGTGAACTCAATTGAATAAGGATAGAAGAGATTTGTATTGGACATTTGAGAAGAATGAAGTGACATTATTTTGTCATGTATCGGTCTCTCGATGTAGTCTCCTGTACCTGAGGGCAAATCACCCAGAATTCATGAACGATTGGAGTTGTTGTACCTGAAAGACAGTTTTAGCAGGCCTCCCAAGAGGTTCAATTACAATAATCTCCCGCCACCGCTTCATGAAAATGGGAGTGAAAAAGAAACAAAAGTCTGGAAGATTGATAATTTCCTTAAATTAATTTGCATGATTAATTTAAATCGGAGAAGACGATGGAAGCTTATGTAGCAAGTACAAGTCCCCTTAGCAATGTCAAGGTCACTTGAGCAATGACCTGATATTCAAGTTCAAGGCCGCGTTTCATTTATCCAGGCACCCATGACGAAATCTCCAGAGTGCTTACCGTCAGGAACGGATGACAGGTCCTCTGTAGGACGTGGCTCTCCGTCAGTGTGTGGGCAACTTCGTCCTACAGGAAAGCATCGCAGGAAAGAGCAAAAGGGAAGAACACAAAAATTGAAAAGTGGGAAAAACAGGAAAGGATGACTGACGTATCGGCTAATTGGAGAGGGGAAAAGGGATCCCTGTTCTCTGACTGTGGGGGAAGGGGATGCACCCAAGTGCCCAGTTCGTGATGAGTCATCTACGTACCGGTACATGAACCTATGTAGCCTCTGCTCTCTTTGAGGGATCTCTCTCTCCCAAAAAGAATTCCTGCGACTTTCTGCTGTCAAGTCAACAAAAAGCCAAATCCAGTCTGGTTTGGAATAACATTACAGATTGCAGAGACCTCTGCACATTTCGCTAAATATTTCACAAGCCACATAATCTGCTCGTTCAAGTTTCTGTAACTGGGTCATTCCATGCCAACTCAACAAATGGTGCACACCATCACCTCTTGGATTTTTTTCTTTTTTGGTGTACTGAAAGATACTTAGGAGAAATGCAAATTCTGAAAATTTGGGGTCTCTACGACTTTTCGTTCTTGCGCAACAGCATTTTGAAATTTGAGGTGGGCGGGGCCAAAAGCGCGTCGCGTCATGAAATTCAATGTTTTAAGGGCCATATATTTAAAACTATACCCCCAGACATTTCAAACTTGGTAATCTGGGCTATTTTTTGCTGTAGATTTCAAATATTTAAACAGAAAGAAAGTAGCTTGTTTCATTTTTAAGTTAAAGGGGCCCCAAAATGGCCCAAAACTCATCTGGACCAATGTTCGGGGGGGTGTAAGTCAAAAATTGAAAATATTTTTTTCACCAAATTTTTTGCCTGTAATAGTAATATTTTCAATTTTTGACTTACACCCCCCCCCCCCCCGAACATTGGTCCAGATGAGTTTTGGGCCATTTTGGGGCCCCTTTAACTTAAAAATGAAACAAGCCACTTTCTTTCTGTTTAAATATTTGAAATCTACAGCAAAAAATAGCCCAGATTACCAAGTTTGAAATGTCTGGGGGGTATAGTTTTAAATATATGGCCCTTTAAACATTGAATTTCGTGACGCGACGCGCTTTTGGCCCCGCCCACCTCAAATTTCAAAATGCTGTTGCGCAAGAACGAAAAGTCGTAGAGACCCCAAATTTTCAGAATTTGCATTTCTCCTAAGTATCTTTCAGTACACCAAAAAAGAAAAAAATCCAAGAGGTAATGGTGTGCACCATCTGTTGAGTTGGCATGGAATGACCCAACTGAGCTTTTTAGGTGTTGCACCCTGAATTTTTTTTTACTTTTTGGAGTGTTTTTGTCATAATATGAAATTTCAATAACACATCCTACAAAAATCTGCCAGTAAAGTTAACATTAATTGTTTAACAGTTTTAAATTGAAAGGCATCCCATTCCTTAGTCTAACAGCGTCAGTATTTGTCAATCTCTATGCATAGCACAAAACGAAAATAACATTTTTGTAAACCACAATTATTTTCTTTCATTAGTTATCAGAAGAGGGAAATGTACTGAACGGAATTTTTTTCTGCAGAGCAGATATACCAATTTAGAACAATTCTCAATTTATACAAGATTCCCACCTTTGCAACGATCACCGCCTTTTTTAAGATCTTGATGGCGTACAGTTCCCCGCCAGTCTTCTCTCTGACAAGTAGGACTTTTCCAAATGTGCCTTTGCCTAACATCTTCAGGAACTCAAAGTCTTGAAGAGTCTGCAAGTCAAAAGAAAAACATTACAAAGCTGTAAATTCTCTCTGAATGATCCCCATTTGCTATTTCCCAGGTTAAATTGGGGAAAATTTAACCTGTAAATAACGGAGTGGCATGGCCTTGTGGTCTGGAGCATTGAATTCGTGGTCTGCAGGTAATTCCGCAGGTTGTGGGTTCGAGTCAAGCCTGGGGTTATGGTGTGTGTGCCCTTGAGCAAGGCGCTTTGTCACTCATTGCTTCTCTCCACCTAGGAGTTGATGGGTACCTGTGAGGGCAGTGTTGGCTACTGTGAGAGGCTGATTACGGCCAAGAGCAGCAAAATGGCTGCCTACCGGACGTGTATGGTCCCCAGGGAGTTGAGAAGGTTTTAGGAGTGTTTTCCCGTTGAACAGGGGTAATAGTGACTGTAAAGGGCTTTGATACCCCTTCAAAAGAGCTATATAAATGCCTGTTACATTAAGCAGCATTGCTAATGTTGCTAGCATCATGACTTTGGCTAATGCACAGGTTTTGGCATCTGACTAGCGAACCTAAAACCAAGACACTGAAATAATGGGGAACAGCTACTGTAACATCGAGCTGGTCAGCTCAGTTGGTAGAGCACCGGAACGGCAATCTGAAAGTGGCAGGTTCAAACCCCACTCCAGTTAATTTCTTTGTTCAACTTAAAAAATAAAAATGAAAAACAAAACTTCAAACCTGTGAGTAAACTTCACATTTGGTGTAGAGAATAATTACCCTAACCACCCCAATCCCAATCCCATCAAAATCCAACTGCATGTTTTGTTTGATTCTGTTGGAGTGAGTACTGCACTAGTAAACTGATTATGCTTTACATGGGTTCAGGCATACCACCATAATCAGAGTCCAACAGTTTGGGCGTTGAGTTATGGTGTTGGATTTTGCAAGAGTGAGGAAGGTTCCTAGTAAATCACTCCGGGGGTTAGGGTTAAGGTATTAAAAACTGCCCTTTCAACAAGTTAAAACTTGAAGAAAATTAAATAAAAGATTGGGTATTATTAACATGGCAGTGCTTATTTTTAGCATGGCACCATGGTGTATGGCACATGTACTTCTGAATGGTGTACCGATACCATTTGTTTCAGTGTGGAAAGAACCCTCAATTATTTTTTTTTCATGTGGGTGCACCATGCCTACCGGTAGGTATGTTTATGCCATAGAGCTATATTAAATTACTAGAGTGCTAACTCGATGTACAAAGTAATGCCTGATGGGCGCATCCATGTTTGTACGTCAAGCTAATTTTGTACGGCTTTTGTACGGCTATTTGTATATCTGCATTTGTATTACATACCGATGCGTCATCAAAGCCGATACACCCAAAAACGAAATGCACGATCAGCAAATGAGCGTGTCATTTTTCTCTACGCAAACAGCGCGAGGCTTTGGAGGATTTTTTTAAAAAGGGAAATAAAGTCCGAATTTCATAACGTTCAAATTCACTTTTTTTCTAATTTTATATTTTCTTCTCATGTTTTTATAAAAGTTAAGTCCAAAACGCCATAGTGTACACATATGTGGATGTCGTTTGGAAAAAAAAATTTGCCCCCTGGTCTTGTTTGTTAGTGGTCATGTATGGTTTGAAGCACGTTTTGAGCACCAACCTTTGTGTGCCTTTTGGGCATAGACTTGGAGTCTGTGATGCGTGCATTCTGCTCGGCCGTCTTCTCTTCGTTTGTTTTGCTTACTCTCTCCACTACATCTCGTATTGCTGCCATCCACTCGTCCCTAATCATCAAAACAACCAAAAATAACCTCATTAGTTACTGAACAATTATAGTAAAATGATTATGTAAATTTTTGTTTTGATACTGTGGAAAATAAACAACCTGAAACCTGAACCTGAACAACAACAACCCCCCAAAAAATAATTAATAAATAAATAAAACAAAAATAAACAACCAATTAACAACAAAAATTGAAGCCTATTGGATGTATCTCACAGTACCATGAGAGAAAAGATAACGATTAAATAATTGTATTTATAAATTTTGATTTATAAATCAATCTAGCCACTTCCATGAATCTGAAACCGTCCTAGCCCTGTGCATGCTGCACATGTATACATGTAACATCCATGAAAACACAGGCCCTTAATGAGAAATTCATATAATTTACCGGTATTTACCTGAAATAACAAGTTATGTACTCTGTAGAGCTGCGTACATATTCGAAATAGTCAATACATGCATGGTTTCTTTTTCATTTTAATTGGAATAAACTTTACAGTAAATGAAAAAGGCAGAAAAATTCACTGGGTTATTGTTGTTTGTTGTTTTGCTGTTGTCGTTGTAATCTACACCACACAATCACAAAGACGCAGTACAGTTGTTTTCCTAATTGCAAAAAAGTCTCCCCATCCAACCCCTCCCCCTCCCCGCCCAACCCCTCCCCCTCCCCGCCTCTTTTCTTCCCGGCAATATAAGAAGTAAAAATTGTTCATTCATTAATATTTTATTTTTCATCTTTTTAACAGGACTGTGTACATGTACACTTCTGTTTTTCAAACTTTCTTATTTTCTGGTAAAAACGAACGCGTAACACCCAAATCACGAATGGATCACACTTTATTTTGCACCAGTTTATGTACCAATGTAAACAATGTGATCTTTAGGCAAATTTCAAAAAAAAATAAAGGCTTTACAGAACATGTTCATGATCATTCAAGTACTGCTCTGTATGAAAAGGAAACAAATCAGATTCCCATTATAGTTACATGTATGTACATGTATCTTCCCTAAAAACACACTAACAAGTAACAGCAAACTAAAATGTACTGTAGACTGATGTACATGTACATGTACATGTACTTGTTATACATGTACCGGTACATGTACATGTACATGTAGAACTGATAAGAACTGATGAAGTGAAACCATTTACATGTATCAACACACATAGTAAATCATCAATTACTATGCAGCCACTGCATGTATACGGTACGTGCACATCAAAGGGGAAAAATCCAACGCCTCAACACGCCCTCCCATCCGATAGATATGACAACAACACAACATTCACCCGCCGCTGACCCCTGAACCTTTCCCTATTCCCAGGCACCAGTTAAAAAAAAAAAAGCCCTCCACTTGTTTACATCCCGCGGACGAGACTTGTTTTTTTCAAGCCCACAGGAAGCTGGGATTTCCTTTTGCCATAGCATGCCTGGCTAATCAATTTTGCCTGATACTTTGTCCCCGCGTGCAAAGATTAAAACAGTGCATTGCACGTCCCTGGCTTACATTGACTCGGGTTGTGTTGCCTGGCACCCGGGCTGCAGAAAAACAATCTTTACAGATGACAATATGGCTGATATTAAGATTTAAATTGGCTCTTGAAAAAAAAAAAATCTTCTGAAAAAACACCTGGCAATTTTTTTAATATTAAACCAATTGTATACATTTCCTAGGTGTAATTATTTTCGTTTTCACAATTTCATTGACTCAAGTGTTCACAAGCATCGGGAAAAACTGTGACCACAGCTGAAAATTGAAACTGCTCGGCAGAGCTCTCTTTACATGTACTGTACACTGTACCTAAGGTACCTTGTTTACTCATAATTGGATGACCATGTAAAACATTGTTAGAGTTACAAGTAGTTTGTGTCATATTGAGCACTCAAGCGACTGTGAAATTAAATCTCTGGTTAGTTTTTTTTTAATTGGCTCTTGACAAAAAAAAATCTTCTGAAAAAACAACTGGCAATTTTTTTAATACCAAACCAATTTGATACATTTCCTAGGTGTAATTATTTTCGTTTTCATAATTTCATTGACTCAAGTGTTTACAAGCATCGGGAAAAACTGTGACCACAGCTGAAAATTGAAACTGCTCGACAGAGCTCCCTTTACATGTGCTGTACACTGTACGCTACCTTGTTTACTCATAAATGAATGACCATGTAAAACATTGTTAGAGTTACAAGTAGTTTGTGTCAGACCGAGCACTCAAGGGACTGTGAAATGAAATCTCTGGTTAGTTTTTTTTTTAATTATTTGTTCATTTTTTGCATGGTGGGTACATGTATTGTGAAACGTTTACGACTGTATGAAAAACATGACAACCGATACTGCAACCTCTAAGCCCTGGCAATATGGATTTGCTGTCTAGCGTTTCACTTCCATTTAATTTGCGTAGTCCCGAATGCAGACTAGGCACTAATTTTTTTTGTATATAAATCCCTGCAGATATCTATTGATCAGTTTAGCATACGTTGTATAAGCTTTACCCTCTGGGCATCCCACTCCCAGGCTCCATCATGTCCATACACAGACAGTTCATGAAAAACATGAGAGAAAAAATTATACACATACAAGATACAACCAGAAAAACAAACAATAATCTCGCCAGGTTTGATTTGTCGCAGCCAGATCAGAATGAACCGGGATGTAGCTGGGTAGATCAACAACAGGCACTTAATGTTATGATCATGGCCAGCCGATTCTGAGGATCAAAAAATGTCCTTGTCCTATGCCGCGCATATTAACTAACCCCCATTATTCAACATGCCTCCACAGCGTCCATGACATGAAATGTATTTTGTGCAAATACATTTCTCTGATAACCATGAATGTGTATGCCTTTTTGGTTAAAGGGAAAATACAACATTTGCAAACATCAAAAAACGAAATGATCGAATTATCACGAAATACCCCACTGAATTGTTAGGGACTGATAGTCTAAAACATCCTTTAAAATTGTGTCTCCTGGTGTATTTTTCCAACGCTGGTCAGCCGACCAGCGTTGGATAAAACTGGCCTTTTTTTTAAAAACTGTTCCTAATTTTTCATATTTAGTTATTCTGATTTTCTTTGCAAATGATTACACACCTGTAAAGGGGTACAAGCCTGCTAGACTGATTCTCTAACCTTACAATTCCCCAAAGTGTTTTAATTGCTCCGTTTTATCTTAAGTGGGGTCAGGGAACCAGACTACAAAGACATGATAGGCTTTCTTGGTTTCTCCAGCATCTACAAGCCCAAAACGTGAAACAAGTCAGTTTAACAATATTTTCTATAACATACCAATCCTCCAAATCCATTTATTTCTGAAAATTGCAGCAAAAGCAAATGTTGTACATTCCCTTTAAAATGTTTTTGGTTTTTTGTGCACATCACAAAAATAACATTTCAAATGTTCCGTGTTTTTCTCGACAACTGTAGGCACTGTTGCTGTGAAGTCATTTTAAGGCACACACACTTCAGATGAGGGGTTTTCCGTTCAAATTGTCAACCCCAAAAATGTGTTCACTGAAAGCTTTGGTTTGTGAAGTTTAGGGCCTAATCACTGACTTGCATGTACTGTCTCGTACTAAAACAACAATGTATCACTAAAATGACATTTACATGTACTAGGTACATGAAAAAACCAAACCTCTGGCAATTTTTTATGCTAATAGCACTGTAACAATGAATGACATCACAGTCTTGGTCATGAATATGAACATTTGCATTAGCATAATTAACCAAAAAGGCACCAAAACGATTGACAATAAAGTTGGGAGACAAGGGTGCACTTTAAGGGATTTCCTTAAATTAATTAACCCTGACCTTACCTGCAGCTACAAAATACTACTAGTAGTAAACTGTAGTATGCCCATACATGTAGGTGGGTACAGCACTCATAGTGTTTTTTTAGTATTTGGTACTACGGTAGCATATGTACATAATTTTTGTAGTACTGTGTAGTATGTGGTACTTATGAACTCTTTGGCGTTAGGGTTAAAGGGAATATACATCATTTGCTTTTGCTGTAATTTTCAGAAATGGATGGAATTGGGGGGTTGGAAATATATAGCAAATATAGTTACACTGACTTTTTTGAGGTTTTGGGTTCGAAAATGCTATAAAAACCAAGAAAAACAATCATTTTCCTGTAGTCTGGTTCCCTGACTCCATTTAAGAAGAAACAGAGCAGTTTACATACATTGGGGAATTGTAAGGTCAGGGAACCAGTCTAGCTGGCTTGTACCCGTTCATAGGTTTGTAATCGATTGCAAACAAGTGCGATGGTCAACTGGGGCCAGTATTTGAAAAAAGCCAGTTTTTTTTCCAACGCTGGTCGGCCGATCAGCGTTGGAAATTGATACAAAAATACCACTTTTCTTGAAAATGACAGTATACCAGGTGCCACGATTTTACAGGATGCTTTACACTGTCATTCACTAACAGTCCAGCAAGGTATTTCAAAATGATTTGGTAGTTTTATTTTTTGATGTTTGCAAATGTTGTATTTACCCTTTAATGTTGTGATATTGAGCCACTTCCATGAATCTGAAAACGTCCTTGCCCTGTGCATGCTGCACATGTATGTAACATCCGTAAAAACACAGGCCCTTTTTTTAAAGGGAAGATACAACATTTGCAAACATCAAAAAACGAAATGATCAAATTATCATAAAATACCTCACTGGATTGTTAGGGAATGACAGTCTAAAAGCATCCTGTAAAATTGTGGCTCCTGGTGTGCTGACATTTGCAAGAAAAATTGTATTTTTCCAACGCTGGTCGGCCGACCAGCGTTGGAGAAAACTGGCTTATTTTTAAAACTGCTCCTAATTTTTCGTATTTAGTTATTCCACATTTTCTTTGCACTCTATTACTCACCTGTGAAGAGGCACAGGCCTGCCAGACTGATTCTCTGACCTTACAATTCCCCAAAGTCTACAAATTGCTCTGTTTCATCTTAAGTAGGGTCAGGGAACCAGACTACAAGAAAATGATTGGTTTTCT